CCAACCCAAAAGAAACTCTTTTTGTTAGGAACAAAAAATAAACTTATGACATGTTTACTTATCGAGATAGGTATTAAAAAATGATTCCAATTAGTGCTTTTCTTGTGTTTATTAACATATGGGTATTGAAATGATTTCAATTTATGACTTCACCTACATTTACAAATACATAAGGAATATAAAATATATATATATATATATATAGGAATTCCATATTAAAATATGTAATCAAATACCTTCAAAATCATTTGGAGTAGTTGATTCGATTCCCATTCCGTAATTACCCTATCTAAGTTCCCGGATTTATAACTTCTCTCATTCGTAGTAAGTAAACGTGCCATAGATTAAAAATAAAAAGAAAGACATTTTAACATTTCTCTTAAAACTAATCATATAGCATTTCTTTAAAATTGTTGAGCGTTACCAAGCAAAACATATATGCACTCATGGAAATAAGAAAAAGAAGGTGTAAAACAAAATCAATGTTCCATACACTACAATTTTAAGTGCAAATAAAATGTGAGTACATTGTATATTTTACTTGTGAACGCTCAAATTTTTTAAGAGAAATGTTATGATTAATCGTGCATTAGCACTCTAATTTTAATATTCCAACTCCAAAGTATCATCTAATTCGCTTAAGTGGAGGCATAATATTGTGATGTCATGGGAACAAGGAAAAGAAGGTTCATAACAATCTATAAAAATAGGAGGAGGAAATAATGGTAACATGAGCAGCTCATCCCATCGCATGGACAACCTCAGAAAATTTCATATTGAACTTCAATGACTGTTTGCTTATCAAAATTCTTGAAATGTGTAGAAACACTGAACATTTGTAACATTCGACAAATAAGTTATAATGTGTACCTGGAGACAAGATCAAAAATTCAAAATAACACTAGCTTTCGTTGGAAACAACAATCCGTATCAAACTGGCTGTCCTTGAAGGGCCAACACTTATAAAGACTACACCAAAGCTATAACCTTTCAATGTAGGACAAGAGGAAATTGAATTTCAATACGAACTTTAATAGTTTACTATCTTAAACTCACATAAAGTGGTCTTATAATCATTGTCGGATTGCAAGAATTCTTGATTAATCAAGGACTCAAAACAATCTTATCCAGCAGACCTTGTATCAGTGTTTTAATTGGATTACAAGGCTAAAAGGGTTTCTAGTTCTGTTAGAATTGGGATTCACTGTTCTATTGCAATAAGGATACCTCAAGGAGTTTCTTGATGGGCAAGACTCCTTAAATGATGCATATAAATAGAAGAGCTCCCTCTAAGAGCCAATACACACAACCCATCAAGATATTCACCCCATCTAGAATATTGAGCTAAGGCAGTTGGTTATCTTAGAGAAGATCTTTCTCCCTCTCAAGTGTTCATACGATGGCAGAACAAGGTTAGTGTTCAAGTTTTAATAGCTTATTAAATTTACATGTGGTATCAGAGCATAAGTTATTTTATCACCGACGATGGTAACTTCTCCGACGACCATTATTGCTCTAACGACAACTACCACTTCTATGAAAGCGCTTTCATTCCTAATTCCTCAAGGCACCACAATATCTCTGTCTTCTTAATCCTAATACAGGTATCAGATTTGTAATTTTAACTTGCAATTTTGGAGGAAGTTGAGTGTTTTGGTGAATTTCTGTATGTTTGAGATTTAGGATTCATAGAATCATCTTGTGATTGTTGATTGGTTTATTTGTGAAATTTCAAGTTAAAGAAATCTCTTCAGGCATAATTTGATTTATTGAGTTTTTATGCACTGTTGTTAATTTGCGTTATTATCTTTGCTTTTAAAAAATAGGAATATGAATTGGTGTTTACTTTTCAAAAATCTCATTCTTAGAGTTTTGATTGGAGTTGTGCTTTAGGAGGAGATTGGGATGTAATAGGAAGTTGTATTGTTACTTTTCCTTTTATTTTTTTATTAACTTTACTATTTTTTTTGTGCTTGCTAAGGCAATTATGACTACTACAGAAAAGGCAAAAGACGAAGGGAATTCACCATCGTGTAGCCGGTTTTCAAACCGTCATAAAATCGACCGACATCTTTTATGGAAGCAAACCACGACGGTAAATCCCCGTCATTGTTAAAACCAACAACGTCATTAACAAATAACAACCGACGTCTATATATTGAAAAATGAGCCAAAAAAGTGTCGAGGATAAGAATAGACGACAAATTTTAACAAAAAAACGTCGTTTAACACGCAAAATATGACGTATTGTAACAGAATATGACCGTAAAAACTGGATACCACGACGAAAATTAAATCTCACAGCCGTTACATTGACCAAACAAGAAACGTAAAATACAATTATGACGTCTTTAAATAAACAACAACTACTACAATAAAGTTAATAGACAATGGTTTTTAGCCGTTGTTGAAAGTCTTCTAAAACCGTTGAGGTTAGGAGTGTCGTCTTTTCTACCTATTTATGACAACAATCAAAAACCGTTGTAATATGTCACTTTCAACAACGGTTTTTAAGAAAAACCATTGTCAATTCTCACATATAAAACATGTATACAAGAGCGACCGTTGTAATATGGCCCTTTCAACAACGGTTATTGAACAAAACCGTTGTTGAAAGTGAATTACTACAACGGTTATTGAGAAAAACCGTTGTAGTATTATGCTTACTACAACAGTTGTTCAAAATAACCATTGTAAAATTGAACTTTTAACAACGGTTTTTATACTAACCGTTGTAGTAAGTCACTTTCAACAACGATTTTGTTCAATAACCTTTGTAATATGGTTCTTTCCACAATGGTTATTGATAACTTTGCACAACGGTTTTCAGAATAACCGTTGTAAATGTTCTTATTATACAATGGCTATTGATTCTAACCGTTGTAATAAGAGGATTTCTACAATGGTTTGAATGGGTAACCGTTGTAGTTAATTGATATTCCTTCAGTACTGATTATGATTTTTTAAAAAATTAATATTGTTGCATTCCAAAATTAACGAATATAGGCAGAACAATGATGTATTCATATTTCTATATGAAAAGTATTCGAACTTGTTCAATTACAACAATTTGAAGTCTACAGGCAATCTAAAGCTTTGAATTTAGTACATACATCCCAAAGCTACCAACCACAGAATCTAAAACTTTGTACATTCTATGTGAAAATTCTATCATTCACAAAATGACAATCAAAGTGATTACCACTTAATCATGTTCAAAAGAAACCAAAACAGTGGTTGATAACCTTGTCTACTATTCTGAGCCAAAAAACCTTGTTCACTTTGAGGTCTGAGCTACACAGAATTGGTCATCACACAATCTGCCCACTCACGCCATACTTCATCAATTTGAGTTTGTGTATATGTACAATAATTTGTTTTACTCCACTGTAACAAGATATCAAAAATAAGACTTAATGATTAAATAGATAAAATAATTTCATAAAACTTTCAATTGAAGTCGAATTAGATAGAAATAACTTTGACAAACATACGTGTTTACAACTTGTTTCCATTCCTCGTCAATGATGATCCTATTTAGGGGATCCATGAAATAAATGGTCTCTTTGTCCACATTAACAATAGTCAACATCCAATGATTTTTGCCAACGTAGTAGAATATGAAATAAATCCATCATAAGGCAACCAATTCACTTTTTCACATTATTTTATTTCTAAGTAATTAGATAAACCTCTTAGATAGCATTTTAGACTAACCCGAACTTGTAAGGAAGTAAGAAAATCTGGTCAGGATGTGCTGATGAAAACCGAGTTGCTAAGACACGTGATCTTTGACTAACGTCTCCACACCCTAGAGCACCAATTACAGCAGGGTCAACAAACCCAATCATACTTAACATGTTTGACATTTTCAGCACCTCATGTAAGTACCTGTGCATTGTAAAATCAGTTTGTTACAGAAAATATATATTTTATTAAATGTAGCCTATTACCTCATGTATATCACTATGCATGTGCCTGATATCTCTGACATTTCACCAAATTGTAGAATGTCTTCATGTAAAATATGGGTTGAATGAGGCGACCCAAACACTTCCGCTTCCATGATGAAATTTATAGTTTCCCCTGCCACCTTCGGCAAGCCGGCACAACAACTTTAGTGAAGATGGCATTAGTTGCAGATTTTGTAATGCAATACTTTAGTCAATATTGCAGAAAATGTCATACAAAAAATCTGGAAATGGCACAAATATTCAAACATTTTTTGGGTTGTAAATTTTGTGGTTTAGGAAGCCCAGGTCAATCAGAAAACTTAATTGTAAATTATAGATTAATGGAAAAAAAAGAGAGAGGGGAGTGGGGGAAATGAAGTCACCTCAAAAAGTGCAGTTGAAGGTGTGTATGGAAACGCATCAAATATGAACTGCTGTAGTTTTACTCCCATTGTATTTCCATGGATAGAAGGAATTTTCTTCTCAGCAAAATAGTAACTGCATTCACAATAACATGTTTGCAAAAATATCATTAGAATAGCTAAAACTATGGATGAGAAAATCCAAATGCACGGTGCTGATGATGTATAAACTGAAAAAACAAAAAGTATAACTTAACATCTGCATTTTACTTTGTAACGGCACCATGTGGTATGTACGACAAAAGCTAGCTCAAGTTTAAGAGAAAAAGTAGATAAAAATTAAAAAATATACATATGACCATGACCATCTAAAATGCCTTATCAATAGTTTCATTACAAGCCAACTAGTGCGTTTTTAATGAGAACTCTTAGATTTTTTAAGAAATCAACAAGAAGCCATTAAAACTGAATGAAACTAGCAAAAAAACTGGCAGCAATCTCATATGAGTTTTTAAGATCAGAGAGGTTATAACTTATAAACATAGTTGTTAGATAAATAAAAAGGAGTGTGATAATTTCATTTCCTTGCATTAGCTGCAAAAATGAGTCAAACAAAAATATAAAACATTTCCAATTTAATCTCTCCAAATCAGTTTAACTAATTCCATAGAAATTGAAACCAATCGAGCGTCTTATGAAAGAAAGGGGCCTGAGACACTGAGCAATAACCCAGTCAAAATTGAACCCCAAATCCATTGCAACTTGAACCAAAATCAGAGAAAACAAGTTGGAATTAAATATTGAAACCAATCGAGCGTCTTATGAAAGAAAGGGGCCTGAGACACTGAGCAATAACCCAGTCAAAATTGAACCCCAAATCCATTGCAACTTGAACCAAAATCAGAGAAAACAAGTTGGAATTAAATATTGAAACCAATCGAGCGTCTTATGAAAGAAAGGGGCCTGAGACACTGAGCAATAACCCAGTCAAAATTGAACCCCAAATCCATTGCAACTTGAACCAAAATCAGAGAAAACAAGTTGGAATTAAATATTGAAACCAATCGAGCGTCTTATGAAAGAAAGGGGCCTGAGACACTGAGCAATAACCCAGTCAAAATTGAACCCCAAATCCATTGCAACTTGAACCAAAATCAGAGAAAACAAGTTGGAATTAAATATTGAAACCAATCGAGCGTCTTATGAAAGAAAGGGGCCTGAGACACTGAGAAAGGGGACTGGCCAGAGTTCTTATTAAAGAAAAGCACTTCAGAGTTCTTACCTATCAAAGCTTCAGTGTGAGCGCAACATCTGTAGAGGGCAAGAGAGATGGAAAAGCTAAGCACCTGCAAAGGAAACAAAGAGAGATGGTTAACACCCAAATCAGTAACCCTAAAATTAAAACCCAAATCTCTCTAAACTAGAAGGAGGGAGGAGAAAGAAAGAGACGGGAGATGGAGAAGAGAGAGAGAGAGAGAGAGAGCGTGGAAAGAGGGAGACGCGAGAGACAGAGTCTCTCTGTCTATGGCCGTGGCGAAGGCAAGGAGATGAGGTGGGAAGAACAAGACTGTTGAGAGAGGGAGACGCCAGAGACGAGATAGAAGAGAGATAAGAGAGAATGACAACTATCGAGTGGAAGGTTGTGAAATAAATTTAAAAAACCACATACCCTAAACCACAACGCTTAAAAACCCCCTTTAACAACGGTTACGTAATAACCGTTGTGGAAGAAACAACTACAACGGTTTTGGAGCCAACTGTTGTGAATTCAGCGTTGTCTTTTTGAATAATTGTAGTAGTGAACAGACGACGTTATTGATGCATACTACGTCACCACTGTTTATATAACCGTCGTGAAATAGGATTTTTCACTTCATTTTTTCCATAAATGTTGACGTGGTAAAAATTACTAACGGTAGTACATATGTGTAGAAAGAGGTTAGGGTCATTACTTACAACGCATTTATTTCTACAGACGACATTGTGTTTAATGGACAACGTCGTCCACAACTAAAACACACCCGTGTTTCCGAATTTATACGTCATCTTTAACAAAAGGACCGTCGTCGAATGTCTCTTAGACGGCTAAGTTTGTCAGTCAATCGCTATGTAAAACGTTTTTAACGACATCGGCTGAAAATAAACAATGCGGATAATTTTATATAATGTCGTTTCTGTAAAAGTACAACGTCCAAATAGCTCTTTACGTCAACAAATTTACCTCTAGATGTCAAATATCGTTGTGAATTGTGCTATTTCCACTTCGTTTATGAGATAAAAAGCGACGTGGTACATTTTTAAGACGAAGATTTTTGAGTTGATATGGACGAGTTCATAATCTAAGACGTCGTCTTTTGTAATCTTTATGATGTTCAAGTTAGATATCTTGACGCGGAAGCCTTTTGTGGGTCTAAAAGACGATGTAGATTATATGTTGATGGTCGTACATATTTTTTAGACGTCGGTAGATAGTTTTTAGACGTCGGTATTATGGGATTGGAGTCGTGTTATTTGTAATTACATGTCGGCTCTTTAGGCTTCTCCGACGTGATATCATTAATAACTGTTTCACAATACCGTCGTGGTTCTTCATTTTTACGTTGCTTTTAATTAAATGAGAGTTAAGCTTTAGACGTCGGTAAGTACATTGCGGTCGTTGAATGCTCCAAAACGTCATTTTTTAATGTCAATTTTATTAAAACAAACGTTTGTCCTTCACATTTTTATCAGAACCGTCGTTTTTGTAATCTTGAACCAGTATTTTTAGTACTAATTGTTTTGTGGCCAAAACCTGCATAATGAAAGTGAAGAAAACACATTACAATTTATTACAAAATTAATGTCATACACTGCCGTTTAGGGCATAAGTAATTTCATAAATTACAAGCAACATTCAATCCATATATCTTCACACCCATCTCGAATATTTTGACTCCCAAACTCACCCACCAGTTCATCAAATGTGTCAACATTTGGCATCCCTCTAGTAAATGGCTCACACTCAATTCTCACATCACCTAAGACATCATCACCAATAACATCATTATATTCTCTATTAGACATTGACAACACTACCGACCAACCACGATGCATCGGGTCGTCAACAAAAAATACTTGTTTGACTTGAGAAGCCAAAACAAATTGGTCATTCCTATGTCCAATTTTACTCAAATCTACAAGGGTAAATCCAAGTTCGTCGACTCCAAGGCCAAAAGTGCTATCTATCCAATCACACCTAAAGACTGGGATTGTAAAATTTTGGTAGTCAAGGTCCCAAATTTCTTGAATGACACGATAAAAACCCATATTTGAGACAATTGGGTTTTTATCCTTGGCACTAGCAACTTACATGGTATGTGCAAGTAAAAATAAACTCCACTATTTTGAACTATCCGCACATCATCTTGTGCCTTGATGTTAAATTTAACACCTTTAATAAGATAGCTCCTATATGATGGCACTGCCATGTTTGGACCAGCTGCTCGCTACCTCAAATTTTCTGATACGCCATTATTGTTTTCCCCATTAAGTTCACTTTGAACCTGCAAATTAATTATATCTTAATTCAATCTAACATAGAAAGAAGAAAATTAAAAGTCCAATATGTTATTCAATAACATATACCTTAAAGCGTAGCCATTGAATGAAAGTGATATTGTGCTTATCTTGTAGCCACTTTGTTCTCTTTCTAAATTTTGGATAAGCGGTCTTGATGTGGATCATATGTTCCCTACATGACAGGAAAAATTCAAGCATTATAGTCTCGAACATATAAGATAAACATAAGAAATAATTTAAAATGGAAACTTAAAGAATAAAACTCATACTCGATATAAGGTAGGACTTCCTCTGTATTCTGCAAGACATATAGATGTGCTTGGTTCAACAAGTCCCGATCAACTTAGCTCACTGTGCAACCTGATAATGGCTTTGAAACTCCTATCTTCTGACTTGATGGCACTCCAATTGTACTAATATCAGATCAACTAAGCTCACGGTGCAAAATTCTACAGCTTCTTCAGCTATATACCGCTCAGCAATGCAACCTTCGAGATGAGTACGGTTCTAAACATACCCCTTTAGACCTTTCATATATCTTTCGAACGGATACATCCATCTAAAATAAATTGGCCCACATAGACGACCTTCTCTGACAAGATGTACTACTAGATGAACCATGATATCGAAGAATGAAGGTGGAAAGTATTTTTCAAGCAAACACAAAGTAACTACTACATCTTCTTCCAACTTATCTAGCTTGGAAACATCAACCATCTTTGCCCTTATAGCATTGAAGAAGAAGCACAAACGAGTTATTGCATACCTTGCAGGCTTCTCCAAAACAGAACGAATTGCCACAGGGAGCAATTGTTGCATCAAGGAATGACAATCATGTGATTTAAGGCCAAGAAGTCTTGAATCTTGTAAAGATACAAGATTTTTTATATTTGAAGAATAACCTTCAGGGACCTTCATACCATAGAAAGAATTCCAAGGTCCTGGAGGCAAGCGAGTACGTCTTTCTCCATACTCAGGTTGAAAATCAGTTTTGACCCCCATGTTCAACAAATCTAACCGAGCAGCAATCTCATCTTTATTTTTTTCCAAGGATCTCCAGCAATGTGCCAATGATACTATCGCAAACATTCTTCTCAATGTGCATAACATCTAGGACATGCCTCACAGGAAGGTATTTCCAATACTCGATGTCCAAACTCTTTCACCATCATTTTCACCTCAACATCCCCTTTTTTTTTAGCCCCATGTATAATTAATATCTTCAACCATTTGTAGCACTTCTTCTCCGGTTAATGGCTTTGGAGCCGTGTCATATTCAAGTTTCCCATTAAAAGCTGCACACTGCCTTCCGATATAGATGATATGTTGGTAACCATTTTCTATGGCCGTTGTAACATATTTTGTGGCCATTTTTCAACATGTGACTAGGTGTATCACCACTGCATATTGGACAAGCTTTATATCCTTTAATGACACAACCAGATAAGTTTCCATAAGCTGGAAAATCATTAATTGTCCACAGTAATGCAACTCTGTGTGTAAAGTATTCTCCTATATGTGCATCATACACTCCTCTAATCCCATCCCACAAAGATTTTAAATCATCAATCAAAGGCTCCAAGTGGACGTCTATATCATTTCCGGGTTATTTAGGACCGGAAATCAATAAGGTCAACATCATGAACTTTCGTTTCATGCACAGCCATGGTGGGAGATTATACGTAACTAAGATAATTGGCCAGCAACTGTATCTGCTACTTAGATAAATGTGGGGATTGAATCCATCAAATGAAAGAGCCAATCTCAAGTTTCTCTACTCATTACCAAACTCGGGCCATTTATCATCAACAAGTTTCCAAGACGGGGAATCCGCCAGATGAGACATCTGACCGTCAATTGATTTTCTAGTAGCATGCCAAGTCAAACTCTTAGCTGTCTCATGTGATTGAAACATCCTTTTAAACCTTGGAATTGGAGGAAAATACCACACCACCCTCGTTGGCACACCATCTTTCATGATTGAATCTTTGTCTTCCTTCCACCGTAAGATACCACAAGTAGGA